CATCTATCTATCTATCCATCTATCTATTCATCCATCTATCTATCCATCTATCTATTCATCCATCTATCTATCCATTTTCATTCATCTATCCTATAATTTCTCATCATCATCTTCCTTCTGGCAGTGACTGCTGCTCAAGAATCTGAGTTTTTCGCATCGCCATTTTTTTCTCTCAATGTAAGCAATATTTCTTCTAATTGGTTGAATTATTTATCTCTTTTTCTTACGTAATTTCCTTTAACAATATTTTTCTTTTATTAACAATAATTTTTCAATTTAATTTGACTTTTTAAAAATTTAAAAAATGAATAAAATCACAATAATGAGTATTATTAAATTGAGAGTAGCTATACTAGCTATGATGATGATGACGGTGATGATGATGATAATGATGACGGTGATGATGACGATGATGATGACGACGGTGATGGTGATGATGACGGTGATGGTGGTTTGTTGTTGGCGATGATAAAATAACGATTATGACTACGTGTTGTGGTTGATAATGATGATAATTAATTGATTACATAATTACTTAATTGATTAATTAATTGAATAAATAATATGATTAATTCTATAAATTAGGAAAACCTGAGATTGCTCTGGCATCCAACAAATTTATTTTACGTTTGTGAACTATTTGTGACTATTTTTTCAAGAAAAAAAAATGTTAAATTTATTTATAATAATGATGACATAAAACTATTTAAATTTATAAATAAATTGTAAAATTCGTTTTTAATTAGTTAATTAATTATTTAAACGGCGAATCAATTTAGAAGATTTTTAATCTGCAGTAAATCGATCTGTCTTAAAGTTAAGCTGCTTTTAAAGGAATATTTTTTTCAATGGATATGGTATGGTATACATTTTAACGCCTGTATAACGCGCGTATATATGCTTACATACATAAAAACATACATACATATACATCCATACATACGTACAGACATACAGACATAAATATACTTACATATACACACCAATACATACATATACACACACATACGTACGTATATACAGACGTAAATGCACCCAAATATATTTGCATATATGTACACAAACCTACCTACAACAATGCTTATGTCTAAAGATCATATAAAATAAATAGATATTTAAACGTAAAAATAGATGGATGAATGCATGGATGGATACATAGATATACAGATAGACAAATAGATATATAGATAGATGAATGGTTAAATAGATAGATGGATGGATAGATAGATGGATGTATCGAGATAGGTAAATAAATTTATAAAAAAAGATCGATTGATTGATGGATAAATGCATGGAAAATACAAAAAGATAGAATGATTGTTAGATAGATGAATGGATGAATGAATGAATGGATGGATGGATGAATGGATGGATGGATGGATGGATGAATACATAAACAGATTCTTCTTCCGGTTTAAAAGTCACATATTCACAATTTATATCCTCTTTCTGAACATGCCACCTGAGATCGCGAACTTAAAAAAAGAAAGCGAAGAACGAGTGAAAAAAGGATTGAATGAATGAAGGAATGGACAGATAAGTGAAAGGACAGACGGGTGAATGGATGAATGGATAGACGACTGAATGAATAGTTGGATGGATGATAGAGTGGATAGATAGAAAAATGAATGAATGAATAAATGAATGAATGGACCGATAGATGCTTAAATAAATGGATAGATAAATAGAGGAATGATGGGATAGATGAATGGACGAATGAATTGGTAGATAGATGAATGAATAAATAGATGAATGAATGACTGAATAAATGGATGAATGAATGAATGTAAACACACATACACACGCTAACACACCAATAAACGCATGGCATCCATAAAACATCGGCTCTTTTTCTTTGGATCTTTTCTTAATTGGATATTTTTTAACATGAGAAAAAAAAATCATTTATGTACGTGCTGAAAACTTTAATTATTCTTTTCTCGATAAATCTTTATAATTTAAAAAAATATCTTTATAACTTTTTAAAAATAAACCTTCATAACTTTTTGAAAAAAAATATTGACTGTGTGGAAACGTGCAGTGACGGATTCAGAATTTAGCAATGGGAGGAATGGTATTTAAAATTCTAAAGCTAATCACCATTTTTGGTTCTGTCGTTGGGTGGTGATTTTTAAAATTCTCCAGTTGATGAATCTTTCCTCGCTAATTCCCGTTTTCACGGATTCTTCAACATTTTTCTCTATCAGGATCTGGTTGGAAGGATGTATTTCCACATATTCCTTGGATCCGAACAAAATCTGGTTTCATACACACAAATACAATTATTTCGGGAAGTCACAACACTTTCAGCGTTGCTTTATTTTATTTATTAATGTTGCCAAATTAAGCAAAGTTGAAAATGATGTGACTTTCCTAAACAGTTGTTCATCTGATAGCCTGAATCCTAAATATATATTAATATATAAATATATACATTCGGTTTTATGATTGGTCAATTTTTCGTCGAATGGGCTTCATTTAATTTTGCTTAATTGAAAGTTGGATTATGATTGAATGGTTTTGCGACTGGATTTCAACTCTCTTGTCAACTCGTGATTGGATTTCAACTTTTTTTTTATATCAATTTCTTATGCTCGTGACGCAAGTCGTAAAGGTTTGAAGGATGGGAAAAAGAAGAGACCTGATGATAACTCGAGCCAATTCAACAAAATATGAATACAAAAATAGACCTGCCTAGATTTACTGATGAATAAATACACACAGATGTATAAATTAGTAAAAATATGTATGTATCTTATGTATCTATTATATATTTTAGATATATATATATATATATATATATATATATACAAACTTACATAAATGTGATAGATATCTATAAATTAGGTATATTCGTGAATTAGCACGTGCCTAAACTTTAATTAGTAAAATATGCAAGGAGAAATTGTTCATCATGTAATATCTTGCTTTCAACTGTAACAATGACTGTGTGGATTTGATTTTAAATGCACAACGCTAATTGGACATATTTTCTTCATTTATTAATAAAAACAACAAAATATAATAATAAATAATAACAATAATTATAAACGTTAATTTTTTTAATTAGTTTTTTTGTATTAAAATTTTATAAATATCTCTGTATTATTTTTATTTTAATTATTGTGACAGGAAGTTTATTACGTGCCTATAAAACATTATATAACCCCAACGTGGTTTTTAGGAAGGATTTCTATAGTTTTATTTCTAATATTATTATCATTGTCAGTAATAGTAAAGTTATTATTATTATTTTATTATTATTATTAATATTATTATTATTGTCATTATTAAATTATTCATTAAGCCGCCAGTTGGGATTTCACCGCTGGTTGACTCGCGAAAGTCCCATCAATGACATGCGTACGTTTGTATGTGTGGGTATGTATGTTCGTATTTGTGTGTATGTATGACTGTATGTGTGTATGTGTATCTTTGTGTGTGAGTATGTGTATCTTTATATATATGTATGTGTGTGTGTGTGTTTATGGATATGTACGTGTGTATGTATGTTTGTGAGTTAGTTTGTTTATGTGTGTCTGTACAGTATATGTACAATATATTGTCATGTTTGCGTTTTGCCAAATAAAAATAAAATGTTGATTAGCATGGTTATAAAATTGAAGGCAGGCCCTGGAAGATAGGGAGGGGGTCGTTTGGCAAGCACCTCCGAATTTAATACGCCTCTAGACTAGAAACTTCTTGCATGATACAAATAATATTAGGTAATACAAACCACGTTATTTAATCTAAGGCTTGTAATGGTCGGTTCTTACTGACTCTGGTTATACAGGTATATTGAATTTTGGAAAACACGCTTGCTTTTTCAATTTTTATCAATACTTAACTCTTTCCATACAATCCAAATTCAGAGACAAGCAAGATGTATCCAATCATTCTCACATAACATTTCTACACTACATACCTGATTCAAAGTTGATCATTGTACCTGGTAAATCAATGACATTATTGACATTAAAATCATCAAAATTAATATTTAAATCATCTGAAAAAAAGTTCAGAAAAATGAAAATCCTCAACCACAATGTCTTGCTAGAGATAATTATGAACAGGGCACACCACATATATTAGCACATACCTACATATACAATTATTTACATTAGTTAGGTTAAGTGTAGTCAATTATCATCAAAAGAACTTCATACAAACGATCTATTTGGCTTATATTTTTTGTTATGATGTTTTGTCTGTTTTTTTTTTTTTTTTTGTTTAATTTAAGAATTTTGATTGAAATTTGTTTATGTGGATTATGTTGAGTTCATACATGTATAGTATGTACATGTTTTGTGTGTTAGTGTTTGTTTGTGTGTGTGTGTTTGCGTACGGCGTCAGTAAACTCATTTTTCTTTTAATAATTTTACAATCTTTCAATTAATAAATCAAAAGTTGAAATAATGTGCTTTTTCAGAACAAATTTTTAACCTATTTACAGATTTTCAAAGGTTTTCGATGTACAATCATTTACAATATATAAATCTCTCCAAATTTGTCAAATTTTCAGTAACCAATTAATTGAACGTGTCAATCTCATACTCATTTAGGCAATCTATCAATATTTCAGACATCTTATAACAATTTTTTTATTCAATCAGTCAACTAAATATTATTACTCTACTGAAATACACTTTTCCGTCAACACACCAACCATTCAACTGACCAACCAACTAATCAAACAACCAGCCAGGCAACCGACCGACCAACCAGCAACGAATCAAACGAATTTATTAACAAATCGCTAATATCCCTATAAAGCTTAGGTAACCAATGGCAAACATATCTAATCACAACCATTTAACCACAATCCAACGGTTTAACCAAAATTAAACAAGAACCATCCCACAAAAAATCGACCAATCATAAAACGGGCCAATCATAAACAGACCAATAACAAACCGACCAATTGCAAACCAAACAATGACAGACCAACCAATTGCAAACCAGCCAATGACAAACCGACCAATCGAATCATTCGCAACCAATCAACGCCTAGAACAATAGAAGCACGACTCGTAGGTAGGAATCATGTATTTGATGTTGATGAATGCATTGTCGCCTCCACATCTTTCCATCATCTCCAGCGTTTCGTTGATCAAATCGCCCAAGTTGTCGCGATGGCCGAACTCTATTAAGTCGCCTGTCGTCACTGCAAAATTAATTATTGTCGCTACTTTCAATAATTATAATATTATTATTATTGTTATTATTATTGATATTATTAATATTATTGTTATTACTACTACGTAAGAAACCACTTCCTTCAACAAATTACAACCCTTTTTAACGTTACGATTATAATAAGCTGTGTGTTATATTCTTTATATGCCAGACGTTTCTTCGAAAATATTTTATAATACTTATTATTATTATTATTATATTTATAATTATTATTACTATTGCAGTAGTGATTAGGTCATTAATTATTTACAATCTAATTACTCTACCATTTTTGCCACTATCAAGTTCCTATAGGCATAACTCATTCGAAAACCAATATGCGTCTTAGCACGTACGTTTTGTTAACACCCATGAATGAATAAATGAACAAATGAGTGAGTGAGTGAGTGAGTGAGTGAGTGAGTGAGTGAGTGAGTGAGTGAGTGAGTGAGTGAGTGAGTGAGTGAGTGAGTGAGTGAGTGAGTGAGTGAGTGAGTGAGTGAGTGAGTGAGTGAGTGAGTGAGTGAGTGAGTGAGTGAGTGAGTGAGTGGAGTATTAAATACACTCAACCTAATCTACCAAATCAAATTATTATTTTGTAACACTTAGATAATTTTATGTTTTATGAACATTAAATGTGAGACACAGGTTTAGAGCTATTTTTCATTTATTTATTAAGCAATATCTCAATTAGTTTCATTGGTTTATTTTTTTATTGACCTTCCTTAAGTTCTATGTTCGAATCAGCAAGAGTATTTTTAATTTTTTAATTTAGTAAATTCATTCATCACTATTAATTTATTTATTAATTTTTTCGTTAATTTAATCATTATTTTATTTATTTTATCATTCATTCATATTTTTTTTCATACAATCAATCAATCTTTCATTTCTTCATTCATTCTTTTATTCAACTATTCAATCCATTCACTGCAAATCCCTCCAGCTATTCCGACTTACCATTTTTGTTCTTGAATATGTTGAGAATTCCTAATAGATGGCGATAATACGGCACCAAAGAAATGCCGATTTCTGATTCTTTGACGATCATAACTTGGATGAGTTTGAGAACTTTCATGATGACTCTGCAGTTTCTCGTGCACAGCGCATCTGTTTGGAAGCAACAGGTTACTACTGCTGCTACTACTACTACTACTACTACTACTACTACTACTACTACTACTACTACTACTACTACTATTACTACACTTCAACATCTATTACTACTGTACTACTTCTACTACTATTTACAGCTCCTGCATTTATTACTATTTCCACTGTTACTGTACTGCAAATACTACTACAAACTCTGACACTCTCATTATGATATGACTCTAATAAGATCAAATTACCGTTACCCTTCTAAAAGTTTTTCTCAACGTACAAATACCACCTTGTCGACTGCTACTATTGCTTATTTAATATTAAAAATTTTGAAGCTAACAAAGTGTATTTTCCATCATAAAACGACGAACAAGAAGAAAGAAGAGACCGGCAAAATATAATGAACGCACTTTTCATCGGCAAGATGAGCCTGCTTAGGACAGGGTTGACTTTGCAGCCGTTGGTGTTTTCAATCATTTCGTACGCTCCTAGGTAGGCGAGTAATTCAAAAGGATGTTCCAACTCGACCAGTCCGTCAAAGAAGAGAGGCAGGTAAAAATCGTAATCCAAACTTTCGATAGGTACCTGCATGAGATTAGTCGCAGTTGAGCGAGCTGATGTGATGTTATGGACATTTGCATACGTTTTTATATTTGCTTTTGTGCATGTGTCTGCGTTTGTATGCGCGCATAGTTGTGCAAGGTTTATAGGATCGTCAATCATTCAAAATAACGACGCACGTTTTCCAATCAACATGTTCTCTTAAAAAACCAAAAATTAATCGAAGCGCTAATATTCAAAATAAATGCAGAACAACTAGATAGGAAATTAATTGTGACCAACAGTCCAGAGGATCTTGCGGCTGTTGATCACCCTAACAGGCAGATCACCCCTGTGGTAGAACTTTCTGAAATCAGTTGATATGCAACAGCGCACTTTAGTTGAACGTGCTAAAGGAGGATTGCCTACCTACAATTCATCAAATATCGTCAAATTTCAATGTTTCAAGTCATACCAAGGTCACATCCGGAAGCCAAGATTGTAGTACATCAAAACATTCATGCACACTGAAGACACCAGTCAGTCAGTCAATCAGCCAGTCAGCCAGCTAGACAGCCAGCCAGCCAGTCAGTCAGCCAGCCAGTCAGCCCGCCAGTCAATCGGTCAGCAGAGCAGCCAACTAACGTCAGTGCAAGGACTTGTAACGGCGAATGCCATCGACCTGGGACAGCATGGGTTTCGAACCCGGCCTTCCTTCTCATCTTCACAGTTGGTAGCCTTGGTTAAGTCCTTGCAACACGATGCCATTTCAAATAATTTCTTTGATGAAAATTACGCTTCTGATGGGAAATGACTTTAGGAGAGAACTACAACATTGGAGGATTTTTGGATTTGCATAAATGAAAATCTTTTAGAAATGTACTCAGCATCTCCTAAATATTAAGCTGATTTAATGCAATTAACTAAATTTTATGGTTTCAGGTTCAACGTCTTATCAACATCGTTTAAAAAAAAATTATCGATTCCTTATAAATTTTCGATGAAAAATGATAGTACCTACAAAAGTTATAAATATAAACCTTTTAGTTCCTTTGGAAGCTTTCAATATTTTAAACTGTTACTGAAATGGAAAGCGGCTAGAAACATCCAGGATAAGGCTACTTTTTTCATTTTTCAGCTGTCGAACAATTGGAATCACATAATATAATATGAAGATTTAAAGAAATTTAATAACTAAATCTCTAATAAGCTAACGAAGTATGACGTATCAAACAAACACGGCAAAAAACACTAGTTGACCATCTGGATAAGATTTGTTTGCTTACATTTATTTCTCATATAACTTGTAACGTTTCAAGAAAATCGCTACAACTCACAAAAGGTTCATCGGAAATCCGAATAAAAAATTCCCAATCTGTTGTTATCCCGCAACATCAACTTAATAATTAAGTAACACGAAATGGTCCACTTTAAAATGAATGATGCTTCGATTTCGATAAGCGGTTTTTTACAATTGAACACATAAACGCAGAATGACGTTCACTAATTTGTAAACAAATAAATTTCAAAGCGCTGCACAAATTATTCTCACGAAATAAAACCATTTCCTTCCAACAAGCCAGATAAAACGAGCCACTCGAAAGAAATAGATTTTATTATAACGACATCGGCGACCAACTGAATGAAGTTTGTGCAAGTATAAATGAACCTTGGTGCACACGCAAACACTCGAAAATGATGTTAACAATCAAAAAATATTAAATAAATTAAATATAAATACTTCGTGTCTTTACGGTTATTATTGATATGAAAATTGCTAGTCACATTATTACCGAAATTATAAATACAAAATGGAAAACGTTAGCATGCATGCGAGAACAAAAAAAACCAGTCACTATAAACACTAGAAACGTCACCACTCCAGTCCTTAATCTTAATCACCTTAATCTTAATCACTGCCTAACAGCACCGTGTCAGACAAAGTAGTAAGCAACATTCGTTCGTACAAAAAACTTTGTGCAAAGTTAACAATTTTAAAACGTCGTCAACACACGTTGGATGAAGTTAAATAATATCAATGAGAACAACTGCCACGCCTGACGATGTGTCTCTAGGAGAAAGGGATCGTTAAGAGTTGCCTATTTCACGTTTATCTACATAACTGAGAAAGTCATTATTAATATTACATTCATGAGAAGATTAACTAAACGCTCTATCGTTCTTAAATGATTGTGGCCGCATGAAATTATAATTTAGCGAGAAAGTAAGTTAGAATTTTATTAACATATTGGTAGTGGTGTTGTTGCTGTTGACGTAGTGATGTTAAAATAGTTAGCGTTGAAGTAGTTTAGTTTTTCATCGTAATATAATATTTTTATTTATTATTATCAACAGTGATGATAATAATACTTTTTATTTCATATTAGTATATTATATTATAAAAACTTGACTTTGACTAAAGCATGCCAAATCCCTTTGAATAACAGATAGCTTTTAAAATCCTTTCCTTCAGCTTTTCTTTACTGGAATATTCCGGAAGCATGAGAACGTTGAAGCACGTGTGTGAAGTTGGTAAGCTGGTAATGATGAGGAAATTTTGTTTAAATTATGCAAATAAGCAAGCAAATATGCAAAAAACATTGTTAATTGAATTAAAAATCACGGCAATGAACATACATACAAATGAAAAAAATTCTGGAAAATGAAAAATGGAATTGGAAGAAAATGGGAAAACCAGCAGACCGATCTGAGTCAGGACCGTGCCTAGCAATGATGAGTTTCAATTTGGATAGACCACCGACAGGGACCCTATCGGAACCCGTTGTGAACTGCAATAACTTTTTCTTCTCTTCATGAGTCATGCCATGAACTATCTCCCAGAACTGTCTATCAGATTAGTTAGATGTTTCCGTGTTTGGAGATGAATTGCGTCAAAAGGTGTTAGCGTACTTTCAAAAAACATCTGATAATTACTTTGAAATAAAACACTTGAATCGCCAAAATTAAAGAATGCTAGTTCGTTTCGACAATACCTATCGTTATTAACCATTATAAAAACCATCATCTAAAATGACTTAATTAATCGTCATCCCTTATTGAAGCAACGAAAACGTTTAATCAGACATACTTGATGATTGGTGAATCCTTTGAATAGCCACCATCGTACTCTGTTGTTTCCTCCAAAGAATGGAAATCAGAATTCTGGCGATCAGGAATTGAAAAATAATTCATCTATGTTATCACATCTCTTTATTTTATCATCATAAGCCCCGAAACTTTAATGCAACATCATCACTCAAATTAAAATATTCTAAACAATGTAAGAAATAGTACACATCAAACTACACCATAGTTTGATAACATGCGTCAGTAAAGTCAACAGAAATATGACGCTACCAACATTAACATTGCTTTCACACCAACGACAACATTATCGTCATCATCATCAACATTAACAACAACAAAAACATTCATCATCATCATGACAACAAAATAATCATCATCATGACAACAAGAAAACAATCATCCTCACCAACGACAACTTAAAATCATCATCATCATCATCATCATCATCATCATCATCATCATGACAACCTCCTCGCTTCCACAGACAAGTAGTTCAAGTTCGTCGGCATTGAAAAGTTGCTCCAGAGGACTTTCATTTGTCACCATGCAGAAGCCTCTCTTGAACGCCTGGAACTGCTTCTTCACCAACTTATTTAACAGGAAGTTGCTGTAGAGGTCTACAAACTCCTGGTAGTGGTTGAGAAGAAAATTTTAATTATGAATCTTTTAGTATAAAGCAACTTTTTAAAAACTAGTTTAAAACGGTGGACAATATTAAAAAATAACAAAACGCACTCTTCTGTTGTCATTGGTGACGGGTATTTCCGCTCCATTAGGAACCAACTCATGGCTGTGCACATTTCCAAATACATCTACTGTGTTGATGGAAAAAAACTGGGACAGGTCAGTGACGTCACCTTCGTATTCCAATAATGAGGTCAAGTTACGACCTAAAGTCTGAAATTTCAACGAATTGTTATAAGAGTCTACTCAGCTGCCCACTACTGCAAATGATCTTTATCAATACCGTCTGCTGAAATGTTGGTGCCACAATAATCATTTGTAGAAGCATAAAACGAGGATCAAAATGAAAATGTACACCAACATATTCACATAAAAACTAATTGAGCTTAAAATAAAAAAGAATGAACTGATTGAGAAATATTCAAACAGGTTGAGCGAGCAGTAGATCGTCGAAACATCCCTTCTTCCCTAGCAACTTCCTGTAGAGAACCATCGGAAATCTGATCAGGTGAATGATTCATTTGACTATTCATCAACAATTCAATCAACGATCAAACAAATCAATCAACCATTCAATCAACCAATCCAAACAACGATCAGACACTTACATACAGTGGACCGACCGACCAACCAACCAGCATGCAAACCTGATATCCAAGATAACATTATTGTAGATGGCAAGTCCCAGAATGATCCCAATCAAAGTAAACTGTGCATCATTCTCAAATGACAACTCGTTGAACCAGAATGTTTGTGTCTCATCATCAAATCTAAACATACCTTTAAAAAGGTGTGCATGAAAATTAAGGATTAACAACAAAGATTATATGATCTGGCAAAAAAAATTTTAAAAGCAGCCCACCAAAATCCGGATTGAACAATTCCTCAACAATCAGCTGGAAGAATTCCTTGCTAACGCCACCTTCGTCCACACCCTGCTCTCCTTCAAACTCCACAAACAACTGCTTCTTCAAATCTTGTGGGTTACTCATCGTTATGGTCTCCAACTGTCAAAATTCAGTTGGCGAGAGCAATTAAATTCAAAGCAAGCATTGAATTTCAGTAATAAACAAACTATAATTCGAAGGTTTTATAACAAAAATGAAGAAATTAGATGAAAGAAGCAAAGGTACGTACATTGACAAGAGCATCATCAACAAGGTGGTCCCTTCGAACATGGAGACGAAGATACGGAGGTAAGATGGCATTGGAAGAACCAGCCTGCAGAACATTCTGGAAGAGAGTAGCTCGCCTCTCGTCAAACATTCGAATCCTGTTGTCAAAATACAATCCCAACTGCTTGGCAACTGTTGTCAACACGAATGGATGTGACATGAAGGAGAACTGTGTTTCATTGGGAACGCGATAATGTGCATAATCTCTATCCATTTCAATGGTTTCACTCAAGGTCTCATTCACAAATTCCTTAGCTGGAATGAGAGGGTGTCGACAATCAAGAGGCCTGATGCCCAGTTCAATTGAGAGGGGGTCCAACCTAGAAGACAGCTTCTCCTTACGACGTTCCTTTGGGATCCTTGACCTGTTGAAGAAAGTCTGCAGAAATACATCTTCCTCCTGGTTCAACTCTGCAAGTGGATTTTCCCCATCATCATCATCTTCGTCGTCGTCGTCTTCATCACTTTGAAATCTTTTCAACTTTTTGTCTTCATTATTGTTGCCGGCATTATCATCTTCCTTAGATGTCGACACAGCTCGTTTTTGTTTCTTGATCCAAGCATCGTCCATTCGTCCGCCAATCATTGAAGCATAGTTGAGAAGTTTCAACATGATGACAGCCCCACAAATGCACTCATCATCGTTCACTAGTCGATCCTGGTGGGTCCAAGGAGTCATGATGACCCGGATCGTGATCATCTGTTGCACCCCCGTCACCAGTCGTCTCAGTGATGTTGCATCGTCCCTGAACCGACCGGCCCAGTAATGTACAAGTGCCAACTATACATAATTTGTCGTTTTATTGCTATTTTATGTAACAAATCAATATTGCAAACATTTTCTTTACACATATTTGAACAAGAAAATTTTCAGCAGCAACTAAGAACCTGACAGGGGAGTGGCAAGAGTCTAACAGTCCTGTAGAAACTAGGCAGAGCATTCTCCACCAACTCGAGACTATCCAGTAGTGGCATCTCCATGATGACGGCATAGATGTTTGGAAGCATGGAACACGAGGACAATCCCGAACAGCCAGTGCCACCATTGCTGCCATCCGACCTAAACCCCGACTCGATGTTCCTGGAGAGGAGGAGTAGGGCTGTTTGGAAGGGTTCCGTGTACGTCGACTGGTCAGGCAGGGAGAGAAGCTTCGTGTAGCAGCTTTTTAATGATTCAACATCTACAGAGATCTTAAAAGATGTAGTCGATGACGCGGAGGAGGATGATGAAGATGATGAGGATTTTGCTTTCGAAGAAATGTTGTTACTTGCATTAGACACATTACTGCAGTCATCTGCAACAGTTACAGAACCCAAATCAACAATGTCGTCGTCATCAGAGTTTTCAACTATTCTATCGACAGCGCTGCCAATAATTTTTCGAAGTTCATCATCCACATCCTTGACATGATGACTCGAGGAACCATTCTTAACCTTCCTGCTTGATTGAGCCGAGCTAGATGTCCTTAGAGATATTTTTGAAGATTTTGCAGCAGTGAAATCATCATCAGACTTTTGAAAACTGTTCATAAGTAGTTTAGGATCAGAGAAAATGTTGTAGATGATTGTTGTCAGAGGTGTCCATCTGTTTGTCTTCATGCAATCTTCGATCGTTTTTGTTAAAATATCTTCTGTTAAAAACTCTGTAACCAAACATGCAAAGAATACGATTAGTAATTACCATTTTACACCATTTGAAATAATTTATTCATTGATAATTTTTCTAAAATTTAATTTAAAAAGAGAAATAATAACAAAAAGTTATGTAAGTTATAGATGAATTAGAAACAGTTAACAAAGAAAGTGGACAGACGTATGTTATTCGAATTGTTTGTTTGTTCTTTGGCCACATTTTCAACTTCACTATCAGTTATGTTCTCCTTGTCAACAGATGATTCTCTGTTTTCAGTACTTTGCTCCGTTGTCTAAAATTATGAAAAAAGTAAAAGATATGAATGAAATATACATATAAAAATTAATATAGGAAAAGTCATTACATTGTGCAAATTCTTCTAAATGAAAATACAAAATATGATAAAAAATTGATCAGGCAAGCAAAACCTCATTAGCCACAGTTTTAATCATCTTGCTTGGAGTCACGCCAGATTCAGGACATAGTGGAGATCTACTTTTAAACAATTCAAGGGACATGGCAGCTGCCTCATTTCTGTTTAAATTAGGATATTTAAACTGCAGGCAGGAGGCACAACACTGATTTGTGCATTCTTTGTTGCCACATCCGTCCGTCAGCTGGTAATAATATTTTGTTATCTGTTCTTTGGCTGCTAATCGTTTCCTATGTATGGTGTATTTGAATTCATTAACTAGCAACATGTGGGGGGAAATTTAGATGTAAAACAAACATCAAACACCACCAGAATCAATTGAGATATTTTAAAAATCATTCAAGTGAAAAAATTCTAAATATGACTTTAACTTTTGATAATATGGTATCAGATAACTTTAATAAATCAGTAAGCAGTAGTAAGCAAAAGTAATCTTGTTAGTTAAGTAAAGAAAACCATAATTTATATTAAAATAGGAAATGAAAAAAATGAATGTTGAAGAATTCATGACTAACATTTCTTCAGGCGAGTGTTTAGAATCCGTCAATTGAGATTCAATTTTTGCGCTGTTAAATAAAAGATAAATATTATTTAACATTATTGTAATTAACAATTTTTTAAATATTTTTTTTATTCATTGTAGTGTTGGGTTTTTTTTAAACATTTTTATTTTTACTATCAACAAAACTAATAAAAAAGGACAGGCACAAAATGATCAGGAAATCTTTTCAGAATGTGAACCTTTCAGAATGGTTAGCATCACCAGCCGGATTTGAAAGATTTGTTGGGTTCATATAATTGTTTATATATTCCTAACGGCGGACAACTTATATTATTATTCTAAAACTTTATTTCGCCTTCTGGCTAATGTTTGGGTATATTAAATTGAGTTGAAAAAATTAGGAAGCGCTTCATCGACTTTAATTTTGCTCACTTAATATAACCTAAGATTTATCGATGAATAATTTACTTTTTAAATAATCTTTTTTATATACACCATATATAAGTATCCAATACAATTAAATTTTTATTTATTCTTCAAATACCCATGCATTTACTCTAAAAATTTGAAGTTTTATAGCATTGTTCGCGTTGCAATGAAAGCATGTCCAACTTGATTTACACTTTCTTGATTTTTCCTGTCCACTTTTCTTGACGTACGCCACTTTTTTCACATTGCTGATTGTTGTTCATTGCCATGGCTTCAAGTAACTCATTTAATTTTTCTTTTGCTAGTCTAAAAAATGTTTGAAAATTTTTTATAAAAATTTGGTAAGCTTTCTTGAATAATAAAATCTGCTAAATTTCAACCAATTTTTATTTTATTATTTCAACCGCCAGCCAACAACGAAGTTGCCCTGAATGGGGACAACACGGCCCCTATCGAAAATCATGACTTTTCTCTGCCTGTAAACGTTCAAGTTAGTGATGTCATGCTTTCTTTTGTACTGTATTAAACTAGTAACAAAATAGACAGTACATTCTACTGGCTGTGATAGTTGTTACAATTCTTGTTTAAATTAATTAAAAATTACCTGAAAATTCAGTGTGTTTTAATTAGTTATTATTATTTATTAGTGATAGTCTATTCTATATACATATAGTCAATAGTGTCTAGAGACTATCACTGATAGTATAGTTTATATTCTATCTGAAAGGAATAGCTGAGTGATAGTAATGACTGATGGCAGTTTGATTGTTGGTGACAATATATAATATTAAATTGAAGTAATCATCAAATAATGCTTTCAGTTCAATTTAACTTCAATCAAGTGTTATAGCTTAATTTTCATTTTAAAATTTCATGATTCATTCAACATATGATTCTAATTATCTAGCAAATAATAAAGAATGAGAAGACCTCATATGATATACCAGCCAAGAAACCCAGGGTAGAACTGCAGTCTCTACCAACCAGAGCCTACCTTGATCAAACTGTGGTGCCTATCTTAATGCAAGCATTGTCAGCTCTTGCCAAGGAAAGGTAGTCTCTTTTTATTACACTCTACTTGTTTTATTGGTTAAATTATTTTGTTTTGTCATCAGCTATAAGGACTTTTACATAATTCTCATTTATTTATTTGCTCATTACAGGCCACCTAACCCGATTGAATATCTGTCGGCTTATCTCATGAAAAACAAAAACCAGTTTGAATGACTGAAAAATTTTTTTATTAATTTTTATATTTAATTCTGCAACAAAATATTAAACAAATAAAAACTGTTACTGTAACATTGCTATACAAATATATAAAAGTTTATGTTTTATTTTTCAACTGGACAATTTCTTTTTTGAACGTTAGGTATTCTTCCTTTTCATCATCTGTGAAATGGTAAAATAAAAGAAAATTAATTAAAAAAATATGTGGTTGGTATCTTTAATACATTGAAAAAGTTTTGTAAAATATTTACCGTCATCAACATCATTTGTGTCCTCATCATCATCGTCGTCGTCGTCATCCCCTTGGAAGTCGAACTTCAGATATGGAGTACTAGCTGATTTTTCTTCTATTGGTTGTACTGAAATGAAATAATTAATTTAATAATTAATTAAAAATTACATTCAATTAGTTGAATTTACTAAAACTAACTGCTTGAGGAGGTATCTAATTTTAATTGCTGAAGCTGCTTCTCTCCTTGCCTCAGAGTTTCACCTGTAACTTTCTTTCTTAGTTCCTCATACATTGGTTTGTAATCTCTGACAATAATTTATGGTATTACTAAATTTAAACCAAACTAAACATAAATTGTGTATCAATACAGCATTAAAACAAATGTAATGTAATCATTAAATAATGCAAGTAGATGAAGAAAGGTTCTAACTTTTCGTATTCAGCTGAACACTCATCAATTTTTGTGAAGAATTCGTTGATACCAGCTCCAGATAACGATGAAACCCCTACAGACTGTCAAATGAATTAATTCATTAAAACACATGTGCATATTTTGCATGTGTGTGTATGTATGTTTTGTGATTCTGTGTCACTGCATATTCAACACGTGTGTACATTTGTGTTTGTAATTTTGATTATTTTTAAAATTTCCTGAATAACAGAAAACCCTGATATTTTAAACTGAATATACTGGAAGAAATTTTGAAAAAAAAGAATTAAGAAATGCTTTAAAATATAAGAACCTTGATTCCATTATAGAATTCGTCTAGCACGAGACTCATTGATCGACTGAGGTTTGATATGTAAGATGTTTCGCTGTTGATGGCTTCATCGAATGATTCAAAAGATTCCATCCATTCAACCGCAAACGAATGATCCATTATGTCTGTCTGTGGTTTGTCATAGGGAATAAAAAAGTTTATTACAATTAATTACTAAATAAATTCAAGAGACATCACCCTTTTAAAAATGTTATAAAGTGTAAAAAAGAATTTCATAAAAACTGCAAATAACTAAAAAAATTATAAAAAGTGAAGCCATTTAGTATTAAATAATAATTAGGTAAATAAATCAATCAATAATATTTTAAAACAAACCTTGTTGAATACCACAATGAATGGTAGCTTTGTTTTGTAAAGGACACTGCAGGCATACAACATATTCGACATGAATGTGATTGGACTGGAGTTTCTGGGTGTATCTAAGACGTAGGCAACCACCGTTGAAAATTCAGATGCCTAATCAGTTAGGTAGAAAAATAGCGAAATTGCAACTAGTCAAAAATTATTTAGTAATATAATAAATGTTATTCTAGAATTGTTATATAAATTTTATGAGAATTATATGCCCAGTATAGGGCTGTTGATGATGGATAACTTTACAAGATCATGGTTGTCATAAATTACATTATTTAGTGATCAATTAAAGTTCAAAAACACTTTGATAAGTTATGAAAACTATAGAAATTTGTGATTTATGAAACAAAAATCTAGAGTACAAAATGGAAAAGTGTGTGACATACAAGTGCTTCAGTGATGATGGATCCACTGGCAGACCACGTGAAAACTTCTATTTGGCCTGGCGTGTCTATGAGGAAATATCTGTTGTGAATTTAATTTTAACTCATCATTCTTCATTTTTAAAAACATTTGAATTTATAAAAGCTATTGACGACGTTTATAAGTGATGAAAATATTTTAACTTTTTATTTTATATGTAATTAATTATACTAACTTGCATTGGCTTGATCTGTTTTTTAATATCTTTACAACCTTTTATAAAAAAAAAGAGTAAAAAATCAGTGCAATTGAAGTAATGAACGTTTTATTATACTATATTTTATTACATTTAATAATTTGTAGAAATATTATTACAATTGAATTGTGAGCTAACTTGATCGAATCTTGTGGTAAAGAGATTGAGTGAAGTAATTATTCCACCATTAGGACCCAGTGTATATTGCTTCATGACTTCTTTGTAATTAACTGTATCTCTAATGTCGATGTTTGCTGAGTAGGGGATCTCATAAACAGCTGGATCCAAATTTATTGCATATGGCGGAATATTTGAGGCTCTCATATGTTGAACCAATTTCTTGGAAAATAAATATATTTTAGATGATTTAATATTCAATAATAATAATAAAATTAAATAACCATTTTTAATTGAAACATGAAAAACTAGGTGGCAATACAAAAAAATGACAAATTCAGTGACACAGTGATTATTTTTAAATTTAATAATTAAATTTTAACTCAATTAATTCAAAAAAAAACAAATAAATCAAAAAGTTTCTGATCGTGGTTATAATTTATGAATTTGATGAATTAAATTAAAAAAATAACCGATATAAACGTAGTCTTGCCTGAACCGGCCATGCCTAAAACTATCACGCAGGTAGGTTTGTTTGCTGCTCCTAGACATTCAGCCATTATCTTACCAGATTAATAACCAGATTATCCGTATCAATTATTTAATTGATTATTAACGTAAAATTCTGAATCAAACTACGAGTTTAAGTTTAGTCTAATCTAGTCTAAACTAAATATATTTAATACGCTATTTATAGCGGAGGACATACATATTTATAGTTGTAATAAATACATATTTATGGTTGTAAAAAAACATATGTATGGAAAGCCAATATAATTGTAAAATTTTAATAATAAATACAAAAGTTAAAATTATAATTTAATATGTATTTAGATATATATATCGAAAAAAAGAAATATTGATATTTTGCGTAAATTATTTTTAACTGTATTCAATTATTCAAAGATGTTAATATATCAAATCCAAGGAAAGCGCCCATATCATCGGAATATTACATTTATAAACAATCTTATCACATTTAATATAAGAATCCACTACTTATTGGCACACAAACACGATGCTTATCGATTGTTCAAATAAAAAACAATTCATTGATAAAAACATGCATTCAATCTGAATGTACTAAATACGAATAAAGCCGGTAAAAAGTCAATACGACAAAGAGTAAAGAAAATAATATTAGATGACAATTTCTATACGTGACTGAAGCACATTCGAGTTGACGATTCTTTTATCAAATGGTTGTTGCCCGCCAACGTAAACGTCTATCTTTCCTGTGTAAATACAATTGAAAAATGCATTCCAAATATAAGTATTTACATTACATTACATTAAACGTCCTACCTCGGGAAACCGGGTCTCTGGACGCAAAACGAAGATTGATTGATTGATTTACATTAAAATAGTTTGTAAAACACTGTCACATGAAACAGCGTAACCAACCGGGAATGTAAGTGAATCCAACGTCGTCGACAAAAACTTTCAACTGTTCACTTTTAAACTGCAGTTTGAACTGAGCACGATCGGCCGATAGCATGACAATCTGCCTTGAAACGGCTACGAGCTGTACGTTTGGCATAACAATTTCTTTGGGTAGGAATCTCCACGATATGTACACCTGGACCACCTTTTTGAATGATAATTTTGATAGCAATAACAACCAAATTTGATGTCATATCTTTCAATTTGTATTTTTAAAAGAAATTCTTTGAAATTTGAGAACTGCAAATAAGGCAAGACCTCTTCAGCGTCAACAGGTCCGGCATTCTTTACGGAAACACCAACATTAATGACGTCATCAAATCCACTGCTGATGTTGATGACAGTAGGATAGACTGACAAATCAAAATAAAAGAACGAAGCGTATGACAGTCCGTAGCCAAACGGGTAGAGTGGCCTGGATGTTAAGTAACGATACGTCCTGTTGACCATGGAATAATCCTCCATCGGCGGCACCTGGAAGAAGGAATAAAACAACATAAAGACTCAAAATAATTAATCAATATCAAGAAGCATTAAACAGACAAACAACTATCAACCATACATCAATCAATCAATTCGATTATTGTATCTTTATTTTCCTACATCGGAATCAACAATATTTACAACGCATTCGAACCAAGTTCCGATGAAAATATTCCATGAGATAGTAACGCAGCACGGCCACGAATCTACCAACTTGCTTAAGATCCATAGGCCAGGTGTAAGGCAGTCTACCGGACGGGCTCACCATCGACCAGTCTCCATTATCACCTATGTTTTTGAACAAAACTCTTTTAAGGGCTTCCCCTGTTGATTGCGCCGGATAAAAACACTGCATGATGGCTCCGACGTTTTGCGTGTAGTTGAATTCCACCAGGTCAATTGGACAGCCAGTGAACAGTAGCAAGATTATAGGACTTTTAGCTGTTGTTGTTGTTATTGTAGTTATCATTGAATATATTGCACAGTGATTTCCTGATATTTTTAATGTAATAATATTTAATGTAAAGATGCAACAGCCATGAAAGTATAAATATTAATAACCATGTGATACAACGTCTCTGAGTAGTTGCGTCTGTAGACCGGGAAGACTCATATCTGGCATGTCCTTGTCCTCCCCTTCAATCTTCTGTCCTAAATCAGAGAGTAAACTAATCGGTACTGATTTTAAAAAAAACTAATTAAAATTTTTAAACCAACCAATTTCATCAACCAACCAATCAAATAATTGATTACTGAACTGATCAACCAATAAAATGAAACAACCAACCAAACGACGCAAATGAACAACAAACCAGTTCCGAGACAGACGACAACGACATCGGCGTCTGAAGCCGCTTTGATGACGCCAGGCTGGTCGTACGTTTTGCATGCATTCGACTCACAGCCTTCAACGAGAACGGCCTGCTTAACCATCATTTTCAGACCGTCGTACGGTGTGGTAGTGAACTGCCTGACGACCATCGGGGTATATCCCCCAAATATTTGATCCATGTTGTTAGACATCGGACCAATTATCTGTGTATGTGCGTACGTGTGTGTCTCTATGTCTGCTTGTCTATGTGTGTATGTTGTGTTTGTGTGTGTGTATGTATGTATGTGTGCGTGTCCTGTGTGTGTGTGTTACAGTTATTTACATTTTCCCCCCAAAAAAATGCAGTGTCAGAAAACAGCAGCAAGCACAGAATTACAAACACACCACAAACAACAACAACTGACGGCTAATTTATCTATGGACCCCTCCACGAGTGGCAATCTGTTGTTTATGTTCTTCAGGAGGACAAAACTCTTGGTGGCAGCTACCATGGCGAGTGATCGGTGATAGTCACTCTGAATGACTTCGTTGATGTCGATGTCAGTGTATGGATTCAAAGAAGGCGGATCAAACAAGCCTGCAACGATAAAAAGAAAACAAGGTAGATGGAAAATGTTATATTTGAAAGTTGATTGAGTTGATTTATAATTAAAATACTCTAAACTACTTTGAAAACAAAACATTTATGAACAGAAAAAATCTCTTTTAATAGAAATAAAAAATAAAACAACGGAACCTAATTTCATTCTTGCTTCAAAAAGTTTACGAGTCCTGTTGAGAATTGTTGAGTAGAGAACCTTCTCTTGTTCGACTGCCTCGACCAGCAGCTTGTACGAAATGTTGGCGGTTCCGTGAAGTTCCAGATCGACGCCAGCATTGACTGCCAGGACGGCAGACTCTAAATAGTTGGGAGCGTATTTGTGGCCGTTTGCTATGTTTTCTATGGCGTCCATGTCACTCACGATGAATCCTTCGAACTTGTATTCCTTCCTTATAAGGTCGGTCAGTAAGGATTTGTTGGCACATGCTGGTACGCCATTTATGCTGGATGTTTGGGCGGTAGGTTTCAAGATATTTAAAAGTAGCAATGACACCAAACTTTGTGGTATTACTACATTTTAATATTATCAATGCTAATCATTATCAACTAATGATTAGCACATATATGAATACATTTACAAACACACACACACACGCGCGCACGCACACACATACAACCTGTTATAACTGCACATAAGGTTGAGTGCACCAGCTTCAATGCAATCCTTGAAATGGGGTAAAAAGGTCAGTTGGAGATCCCTCCATGTGACTTTGGCATCAAAGGTGAATCTAGACGATGGAATGTTTTCCGGTCCAGAATGCACCAGCACAGTTTTGCAACCGGCAATTGCCTTGATGTACTTTGGATGGTTGCCTTGTAAGCCCTTGACATAACTTTTTGTCAGCTGGCCAATGAGGAAGGGGTCCTCTCCAAACACTTCCTGCAATCTGCCCCAGAGTGGGTGGTGGGCCAAGTTCATGAAGGGAGCAAAACAATTCAGACCTGAATCAATTGGTCATCATTTATATTACTAATATGACAAAAATTACTATGCTATACATTATTGGCTTCTAAGTTTTTATGGTGCATATGAATATGAAATGTGTGAATATTTCAACATGATAACTTTTTATGTGAATGAGTGGAGAAATGCAAACAAGACAACCTTTCATGCCCCCATAATCCCCATGCTTGGTTGCATTGTGATGGATGGCTCGCACCTCCGTTGATATGGCAGATGCAACTTCATACAGCAAATCAGGACTTTAAAGAAAGAATTCAAATGCATCTTGTGTTAACTTTCAATTTCATCTAATTCAGTAATTTAAGTGGATTTCATTGATGAAGAAAAAAAGAAAGTTATTAAATGCTGCTAAAGTTTATTGCTAAATAATCAAGCACAAAATTATTATGTCTTTAATTAATAAAACAAAACAATTAAAATTTTAAATTAACTAAAAATTTAAAAAAATTAAACAGCAAGCCTAACTAAATGAAATTTTATTTAACTTTAACTAACTAAATTTTAAAATTAAAATAAAAAAAACTCTAGACCTGAATGAAGCAGCTAGGCCAATAGGCATAGGGAACGCAGTTGAATTGAGATCCGCCACACCCCTGAGGCACTCAGTGTCAAAATTGTATGGCGGAATACCCAACCTTTCAATGGCCGGTGCCGGATCAGGTGGGACTCCACCCCCATTTGCCATCTGATCCACCATCTCCTGGAGAGTTAAACGCCTCATCAAATCATCCAACCTCTCCTCTATTGATAAAGTATGATCCCAAAAAGGGTAAATGAATTCAGAGCATCCAGGTTTCTCGGTCCCATCATGATTTTTTTCTTGGGATTTTGATGTTGTAGTACAAATACTTGGTATTTTCTTAGTTTTTTTACTTTCACAACAAAACGCAAAAAATATTAACAAAGCAATCGTTCTTAAAAATAACATAATTAAAATTTAATGTCATTTACATTTAATATTAATTAATTAATCAATTAATCAGTTGGACAACTCTGCTTGTTTAGCTAGCGACAATCTACGGTAAACATAAACAATAGATAAAAAATTTCAATCTTTCGCAAGGTACTTAACAACAGCTGACGTCACGATGACGTTGATGACGTCATAAATTTGAACGCAGATTTTTTAATTACTGAATATCTTTCTAGTTAAATGCCTGTATTATATGCTTACGTAACCAATTTGAGGACCAATCCCTATAAATTCTAATGCCTAAAGTCCCGGTGTAATTTGAGCCAACTTGTAAAACAAGCTAACGTTAATTCTGAAACTCATCTTTGCGAGATTTTTAAGATTTTATTTTCAATTCAAATCATGATTAAAACATTAAAATAGGCAACAAAATTGTGAGTGAACATAACTGTCAAGCGATAACAAGTTTTAGAGTACACGGAAATTGTTGAAACAAAAGTCATTCAATCTTTAATGAGCCCAGCCCGTCAAGCAATCAATCGGTATTGAGAACGAGACAGACCCCCTGTAGAACCCAATGACTTGGATGCTCTCTCGTCTGCAGGTCCGCCTCAAAAACCAAACCCACCCCCATCGCATTACGTCGCGATGACGTCACGTACACTGGGGCTCGGAACGTGTTCTACGTAATGACGATAGTGAGATCATGATGATGGAAGAGTAGTTAGGAACATGTTATCATTCGTGCAATCATTCATTAATATTTATCACAAGGATTATTTATTAAAATTAATTTTGTATCGAAAACAAAAATTATACGATGAAACATTGAGATTATACATTATAGGAACCTGCAGTTTGAGTCTGTGACTCTCAATGGGAATGATCTTGAGAACAGGTAGTGGCTGGATGAGCTGTTTCGGTTTTTGCTTCAACAGTTCGTTCCTTTCAAAGTCCCACCCAGCTCCTTCTATGAACAACCCGTGCACGAAACATCCTGTACGTATGCATGCATGCGTGAATGTTTGTGCTGTTTAATTTGAATAATATTTGACAGATAAAAAATTGAACAAACGAATAATAAATAATAAAAAAAAGAAAATAATATGAATGCACCCTGATGAGCTTTTTCATTGACGTCATCAGCATCATTGTATGACGTTGCGCAGGTATAGAGGGTCGATTTATCGAGGGGCCAGTTGTTTTTCCGGCAGGTGGTTTGGACGAGAGCGGTCAGGTAGGATTCAGGGATGTGCAGACCCGACAACCACATCACCGACGGTTCGTGTTCGTACACCTGTATATTTGTTGCTCTGCTTCATTTATCAGGATCCGTAAATTAAATTAAATTTGATTCTATTTGGCAGGTAGATACTTCATTCATTGGGAGTGATATTTCAAATATTTAAAAATTAAAATTCATACATATAAACATATATTTTTTGCATTTTTACGGCGTTTCAAGTTAAAATTAAAAAATGTTTATATAGAAGTTTGCTAAGAAGAGAAAAAATTGTTGATATCGTGATGAACGCTGTGATGAACAACAGGCTAGCTAGCAGGTGGAAAGATAGGATAGGTGATGAAACACGTTGACAAAAATTAAGGCTTGTCTATATAAAAATAATGTATTAACAGATTTAAAAAAATTAATATAAGCTAGAAATTAAAATGAAAATGCCGAAAAAGTGAGAAAATAATTACCGGTACCAAATTGGAATTGATGTCATCAAGCTATTTGCCACGCAATACAAACATTTGTATATGTACAATGTATTCTTTGTTGTAAAACAACCACGTATATACAATACACACACAAACAAACAAATATATATGCAAATACACACCTTAATGATGATTATTATTTTTATGTTTATGTATGAAATAAACTTCTAAATTATATACATGCTAATCAATGCTTAAAAATAAAAACATTTGTATAGCGATTTTTACATACGTACATAAATACATACAACATACAAAAAATTTTATACAATGAATGAATACATAGATGAGGTATATCTATAGATACAATATAGATACACATGTATCACGATGACACGATGATATAATGGATATGGATATAATATTAACTAGATAAGAACGAACCCACGAATAATATTGTTTGTATCTGGATTGGAAGTGATCCATCCATGAAGCCAGGCCCTTCAATGTTGCTGGAGCTAACCTGAAATGTTGTTGTTGTGTTTTTTGTGATTGTTGCAATTGTTGTTGTTGTGTTTGTTGTTGTTGTGTTTGTCTTTGTTTGCTGTTGTGTTTGTTGTTGTGTTTGTTTTTGTTTGCTGTTGTTATGTCTGTTGTTGTTGTTAGTTGTGTTCGTTTTTGTTGTCTCACATCACACGCACACGCACACACACAAACACACACGCACAAACACACATACACACACACACACACGCTCTTACGTCTTCGCGAATCAACGCTTAACACGCTTAGAGAACGTACGAAGTTCTTAAGTAACGAAGCAGGCCCTGATACAACTCTAGCCATCGTACCAACACCCAAACAAGCAAAACGAATACAACGAAAGACCCACACTACCATCAGACATTAGAATGGAAATACCTCCTCCATATAAGAGGTATGTGGCCGTTAAATAGTGATCTTGCCACGTCATCAAGTTCGCTACTCATGCCAACTTCGCCCGCCAGAGCCTTTCAATGAATAAATAAATAAATTAATTAAATGAAGGAATAAATTAATTAAATGGAATGAATAAATAAATAAATAAATAAATTAAATGAATGAATAAATTAATTAATTAACTAATTAAATGAATGAATAAATAAATAAATAAATAAATAGATGGATAGATAGATAAATGGATGGATGAATGGATAAATGAATGAAAGAAAAAAAGAAAGAATGATTGATTGAATGAATGAATGAATCATCATCATCAACAACAACAACGTCATCAAAAACAACAACAATACCACCAGCAACAACACCTTCTTGAGAGCCTGCAAAGTCTTCATGATTTTATTATTGAGATTGTTGAATCTCTCCAACTCTTGCAACAAGACAACGGTAGTTGGAGAAATTTGAACTCCGAATTTTTTCCTAATCTTGTCAATGTCAAATGAAGCTGGTAGTTTTGACACAATTTCCGTAACAACTTGTTCGATGTACGATTCTCTACTTACACCTGTTGCCACTTCGCCTGAGAAGTCGAATGAATGAATGATTGAATGAATGAACGAATAAATGAATAAATGAATGGATGAACGAACGAATGAATGAATGAGTGATTGAATAAATGAAAATAACAAATTTTTGTATTTCGGCTTACTGACCAACTTGAGGTTGCAACTCTATCATGTGATTCCACAGTTCCTTGGCGGCGTTCGTATAATAGTTGATCTCTGCGTTTGGATGTAAACCAAACACTTCGGGAGTGTTCGTCATCGGCAGGGTTTCTATATACTCTGTGTGTTTGTTCGTTTGTGTGTTTGTCTGAGTGTTTGTTTGTATCTTGTATGCATGTATGCTTGTTTGTATGTATGGTTGTATGTTTTTTGTGTGTTTGCTTGTTCGTGTGTTTGCTTGCATGTTTGTGTTTGTGTGTGTTTGTATACATTTTCATTAATGATTATACGAAAACATTAAAGTGTAATTATTCATAAAAGTTTTGCTCTTGGTGGTGGCAACATTGAAACAAAGAAAGGTATCCATATTGACGAATCATTTTCAGTTAATTAAATAGCAATTAGATAAAACTTGTTAATTAATTAGTAAATAATTAAAATTAGTTAATAAATTCTAATTAGCAACTAATTATTCAGCAACAGAAAACCAGCCAACCAATGAAGGCTTCCTTGTTCCCTTCTGTAGGAATCTTGTAATCGATGAGTTGGTTCTTGTGGAAGCTGAATGGTTGGAACTTGTCGAAGAGGAAATCTCCCATGTATTCATCCATGTACGTTTTCAGTATTCGTCTATCGTAGTCGTCTATTGCCCTTCCTCCGTACATTACCTTTCATGGTTAGTTGGTTAGTGGTTGGTTGGTTGGTTGATTAGCTGGTTGGTTGGCTGGTTGATTGATTAGTGGCTAGTTGTTTGGTTGGTTGATTAGCTGGTTAGTTGGTTAATTAGTTGGTTGGTTGATTGATTGATTGAATCTTGAGTAAATCATTCTCTTTAAAAACCAAAATAAGGCAATAACGACGAAAGCATTTGGAAATAAAAATATAAGTCACTACCAGAGAAAATTGAAAGCTACAAAAGCAAGTAAAAACAGCATGATGTGGAGAGTATTCCTAAACTCCAGACCTCTCCAATAAGGTACTTAAGGCTGTTCCAGGGCAGTTTGTTGTCGACGTCATCACACGCCTTGTCCAGGTAAGTCTTCAAGATGTCCATGCAGACGTGGAAGTCTGAATCGTTGAAGTCGTACGTTACGTTCCAACCGATCTGTATAGAGAAGGGGGGTCGGGAGAGATTATTTTGGTGACCTAATAACAAGTTTTTTTTATTAATTTTGAAGTGGGTATGACGTAAAATGACATAATGTTATAAACGAGTCATAATAGTTTGACAGCAACTTTCGCGAGTCATGACAGTTTGGCAGCAACTTTCGCGACCATACTAGAACTAATTTTTTTAGCGACTATTCTTATCCTTGGTTTAAGTAGCAACAACTTCATGGTATCTACTGCAAATAAGACAACAACACAGCATACAATAACTAACACAACAAAACGTTAACCCTGATCACTGCAACAACAACTTTAAATGAAACAACAAAAACAAAACAACGGCATAACAACAACAAAAAAACATCAACAACAATAACGGCAAAAAATCGGCAAAAATCACAAAAAATAACCTTTCCATACTTTCTCCTTTCTTGAACGACAGCGTGAAAAAATGCGAGGACAAATACGAGGGAAGGATGTGCCGGGTGCTGGCAGTCCCCAAGGGATGTGCTGTTCATTTTGAAGAATGTGTTTCTCAGGTTCAACCGCAGTCCGTTGGGCGGTTCAGTGACTACCTTGGTGGGTGTAGGATTTGAATTATTTTGGGTTTTTGGTTTTTGTGTCGTTTGCGTTGTTGATGGCTTTTAATTTTTTAATTTTTGTTGTTGTTGTTGTTATCTTTGTATTGCTTCGATGTTTTTTTAATATTAGTATTAAATAAGTCGATTGGACGCTGTGTTAAATAATTTAACTAAAGTGAATAATCTTTAAAAGGATTTTGTTATGTGATTTTGAAATTAAGAATTTTTGAGATTAGTTAATTAATTAATTAATTTATTTATCTTGTTAAATAATTAATCTAGTTAGTTGAATAATCTAGTTAATTAACATTTTAAGATGTTCAATACTGACTTTTAAAGATTTCTGTAATATCCCGATTGGAAAACTGCTGGTTGGCTCAGTAGTTAACCAGAGTCTGATTGAAATTTAAATTTATTAATACGACAGATAAGTTACCGTTTCACCTTTGTTAACAAATTCATTTCATCATCATCATCGTCGTCGTCGTCATCATCATTATCATCATCATCACATCTGTGCAGTGGTCATCACTGCAACCTCATCACCACCGTAATCATCACAGCTAATGTCATTATCATCACAACCATCGTCGTCATAGCATCATCATCTCAACCTGAAATCAGGATGCGGTTTTTCCAGTTTCTCCAGCTGTTTCTCGAGTTCCTTGAGCCACTGGACCAGCAGGTGGCAGTTTTGCAGCATCAACCAATGACCTCGCAGTATGGCAAGGTCAAGTAGTTGCAAGGCTAGCTGTGTTGTTGTTGTTGGTGATGTCGTTGGTAAATAACTCGTATTGTATCTACAATTTCAGCTATTTCCATATTTCATTTTGTTTTTTTATTTTTTTTTACCTTTTCCTGTCCTTGTCCGAGAGAGAGCAGTTTAATTCTGTTGGATGTAAATTCAATTTTGTCGGCCATTTTCACTAACTCACTGGCCGGATCAGATCCAGGACTCAAAATGAAGACGATGGGTGAGGTGGCCACGCTTTGATCGTATATCAACTGGAAACTGACCACTGGAGCTGTTACGAACTTCCCGCCCATCGATGACGCAACAAAATCAGTGATGGACCGATAAATACGATCGACTCGAAGGCAGCGCAGCAGCATGAGACGCTGAAATGACGTCAGCGTTTTGTCATAATTCAATGGAAGGGGATGTGTTTCCGGTGTTTCGAGGTCGTACCACTGTTTCCATAGCAACTCGTTATGCTCTATGTCATCCAAAATGTGGAAAAAGTTCTGTAGAGAATGAACAAAGATGAATGCTTGAAACAAAGTTTAATGAATGAATAAACAAAACTAGCGAACGAAATATTAAACAATCAGTAAAATACGCTTGGAAATGTTTCCTGTAGTCTGATTAGGTCCGCCCAGCCGGCATCCGTCAACCAGTCGAATGGTTTCTTTCGCTCGCTTTTTTCTAACGAAACATTTCCCTAATGTGAGCGAAATATTCAGTAGAAATAATTCGAGACTGATTTTGAAATTGATGATGTTGCACTGTGAAAGCACAAAACCTTAACGAAAAATTCCACTTCACTGGCAGTAACTTTGTTGCTATCCATCAGCAACTTGACGGCGATCTGGAAGGAGAAGAGCAATTTGTGCTTCTCAAAAATGCCAGTGCATCCGTACTTGTAGACGTTGTACGTCAACGTCTCCATGATGTTGTGCAGCCTCTTCTCCACCACGGTGTCAGGCATACTCTTCCGCAGAGAGAGCTGGAAAACCTGATGTGTGATGGTGCTGATGTTTTTCACCCTTTTCCCATAAATGTTGCATTTTGGTTATGAAAAATTAAGATTCGATTTTAAAAACGTCTCGACGTAAAAATGCTGCCAATAAGTTTATCAGAGATATAATTTATTTTTGACATAAGTTACATTTAATGATGAAAAAAATTAACAATAACCCCCAAATAAGCCTCCAAGGAATATTGATACATAGAACTAATAGTGGCCATGTCACCAAGGACAAAATACAAAATGGCGCCCCTCCTGGCCACGGGTCTGTAAATGTCTCTGCTCTTCTCTATTTCCTGTCCGGTAGATTCACCTAGTTTCAGTTTCTCCGTGACCTCATTTGCTTTCGCCTTATTGGTTGGTTTATTAGGTTAGTTATTCTTAATTAATATATAAATATTTATTAATTTTTTCAATTAATAAAATATTTTGGACTGATATAATAATGAATTCAATGAATTTTTCAAACATTGGTATAAAAACATTCTAGCAATGAGGTCATCTTCTCAACTCATCTGTCAATATTATGAAAATATTATACTTTACATTATGTTATACGTTTACAAAATAACACTTATAATATTTGACAACATCATCCTCATCATATCTTCTACAATTAATCATGGCCAAAGACATTATCATCTAAAATGACGTCATCCTCTAAAATGACGTCATCATCTAAAATGACACCATCACTAAATTTATAACAACAACATCAACACTAACCGAAAACAACAACAACATCAACACTACCACCACCATCGTAACTTGGGACCAACTTTAGTTTTTTCCATGGTCTGCACTAGTTCCACATTATCCAGCATGTTACCTGACGATTGCGCAAGCTCACGTAGCAAGGAATCCTCCAGTTCTTTCAGTAAAACTTTGTTGGTGCTACGTGCGATAGTTAACTTACTTACTTAAACGCAAAATTACCTTAGGCACTTATCATAAAAATTATGATTTGTTTTAATAAAAATATATTAATATTAACCATTATTATTATTGTTATTATTATTATTATTATTTTATATGTTTTTGTAATCATTATTACATTAAAATATTTTCTCCATTTTATTTAGTCAGTAGATCAGCAATGACAAATCGGCATAATTTGGTTTAGTCCATTTAATTTTTTTCATTCAATGGTCTAATCGAGTTTAGTGGCATCATTGGGAATCGAACCCGGAGGCGCCAGCATGCAGATAAAATGATGAACATAACGATGGGGACGATAAATAATATTCATGATGATAATTACGACGACAATGATAATGATGATAATGATGATAATAACGACGACGACGATGATGATGATGACAACCTCGTATCTTGTATCAGTTCTTCCCTTCTTTGCTCAAGAGCCGGTCTCTCGTACTTCACAATGACACTTAACAGCTGATCCTCCAGGCCCTAGTGGTGGGGTTGGCGGTGAAGAAGATTATGATGCAAAATGGTTAAGATGATAATAAGAGGGCAAAGATGAGTAATGAGATTATAGTTGTTTTGAAAAATGATGATACATGATAATTTTTCATGTTAAAGATAATGATATGAGTGAAAACATCGATTATATCAGTTCTTCGGGTATCATGATATCAGATTACAATAAAAGCAAACGTTCTGTCTAATTTTTTTTCTCCTAATAAAAATTATTTTGAGTATTCTTAGAAGTACCAGCAGTAAACACACAGCATAGTGCCGCCGATAAAAAAAAACAAGAGTAAATTTTATGGAATGTACCAGAAAAATATTGAACCTTGATGGTTACGTTATAGTTGATGACCATTGATATGCCAAAAATGCTAGGTAGCAGTTTGGGGTTGGAGAGCTTTGTGTTGAGGTAGAGTCGGAAGTTTTTATCATACTCTATTTCTTTGTCTCCCATCACCACAAACTCTCTGTCCTTCACCCCTTTTTGGTGAAAAGATGAATGAATGGATGGATGGAAAAATGGATGGATGGATGAATGACCGAATGATTGCTTGAACGAATGAATGACTAAAATAACAATTGACGAGTAAATAAATCACTCAGAAAAAAAAGAATCAAAAAGAACCAGTCGAAGAAACCTTTAATATTTTTCTCGAGAACGTTGTTAATGACGGGATCAATGTACTCATCGACATCATCAAAGAGGATTGGATATCCAAATTTTATCCCGAGTTCCAGCTGCTTCAAAAAGTCGGCGTCATCAAACTTGCATGCCTAGGCACAGCAACAAATTGATTGACGAATTTTATTTTCGCAAAATTCGTGAGTGAGTGGGTAAGGGAATGAATTAATATAAGAATAGATGAATGAGTGAAGTAAACGAAAAATAAAATCTCTTTATTTAATAATCCAGAGAAGCATCCCGACTTTCAATCCTTTATCCTGTTCTCTCTTCCGGATCCAGTTGTATGCCTGCTGTTGTGGATCGATGCAGAGTGGGAACCTGCTTGCCCGCGTCGTCAGGATGCCATTCTGGATGGAGAGCTCGTCCGGGGGCAGAGATTCAGATGTCCACCTAAAAAAATCATGAAAATAAAATTATAATAGTTAAGTAATGATTGGTTAAAAATAAATTTAAAATTATTAATTTTTAACAGTGGAGTATCTGAGAAGTAATAAAAATAACCAGCAACAACAAAGAAAACAATTTATCACTAAGCTCCATCTTACTTGCTAATTTCAACTTCGTCAGTTAGGAGTGCTTCCAACTTGAACGGATCGCTAACCGGAATGTCACGTGACTTGATGTCAACCAACCACGTGTCGTTTATCATTTCGTTTCGGAATTCCCAAGTAAAAGCCCCTAGGTAGCAGAGGAAGGCAGAACCAAGAAGGCAATCCCCGAGTAGTTTCACTTTCTGTTCTCGGAGTTTTATCAAGTCGTTTGACCATCTGTGTCAGTATGCAATTGTTAATGTGATGACATGCTATTGTTATAATCAATATCAATGGTAGAAAGAAATTTTTCTCTACTTCAATGGCATTTATTAGTGTCAAATCATCGCCAACATTAACAGAAAAGTTACAATAATTTTACTGCCAAAGCTTTTGTCAGCAATCTAAAAATGTATCACGTTATCATTCCCATGTTATGACTTACATCCCCACCACCATCCCAATTATGACAATCATGTGATAACCAACCTTTCATTTTCCGATCCCAATCCGGATATGAGTTTATCGGCAGCGATCAGCCTTCTTTCCATGACATCCGTTTCCTCTTGCAGCGTCTGCCTCTCCACCGATGCAAGTTCGTAGTTACCGCTTAGTACGTTCAACTCTTCAACCAACTTCGATATATCGGAGTTTATTTTCTCCAGTTCTTTCGTTGTCTGGTTGTAAACTTTTTCCAGTTTTGCTACCTTATAGTGAGTGAAATTAGTAAATCGAAATTGGATAGTTTTATGGAAATAAAAACTAATCATTCAAATCAATTGAATTTTGTAATTAAATTTGCAAGCCAAATATTGGTATATATTTTAAATTTAATAGAGAATAAAAGAAATTAATAAATATTATAAATTTTCACGACCTTCTCTCTCTTTGGACGGACTTCCTTGGCTACGTCGCAGTAGCCTACGACAGCTTTCACGAACTTCATGAGGCCTGCGGCCGCTATGCTCTGTCGTTTGGAGTTGTTTTTGTTCAATCAAACATCCAGGTCATATTTTGAAGTTCCAAATAAATCATTTATTATTTCCGTTATTATCCAAGTTGTATTGTGAAATTTCAAATAGAAATGTTAGAAGAAATGTTGAAGCTAACTAACTTTTTTCTGTAGTAGTATTTTACTTAATTTAAATGTAAAGTACCAAAAAAGATTGTAGTGTAAAATGATTAAATTATGTGTGAATGAATGAATGAATGAATGAATGAATGAATGAATGAATGAATGAATGAATGAATGAATGAATGAATGAATGAATGAATGAATGAATGAATGAATGAATGAATGAATGAATGAATGAATGAATGAATGAATGTGAATGAGTGAGTGAGTGAGTGAGTAAATGAATGAATGAATAAATAAATAAATAAATGAATGAGATGATTTACTTTTTCGCTCATTTCTTCCACCGTTATGTCCATCTCTCTTAACTTTTCTTTCACTGTCTGCACCTATCGAGGATTCAAAGAATTTGTTCCGAATTTTTTTGTCACACACACACACACACACACACACACACATACAAGCATACATACACCTACAAAGAAATCAGTTTTTATGAAAAATACAAGCGCCAACAGACAGATGTCAACAGGTAGGTCTAAAAATTAACAACGCATAAATCATTTCAAAGTCGACATTAATTTTTGATATTTTAAAAAGTTAATATGTAATGAGATGATATTCAATCAACGTGAAACAATAAAATTTATGTCCATTGAATATTTTTTTTCTAATTTTCAACGTACCTGTTTTTGAGTGATGGCATCTGCATCCATGTCTCTCAGTGACCTCAAAAAGTTGACCTCTGACATCATCGCCTTTGCCGATTTCCAACTGACCTCTTTTATGCCTTTTAGTTATTATCATGGATAAAAATAATTAATTAACTGATAATTAAAAATAATTAATCAAATTATTATTTATGTATTTATTAATTTATAATTATTATTTATTGGTAATAGTATTAGAACTGTTAGTAAATAGATCACTATCATCATCACTGCCATCATAACCAGCACCAACCTTTCAGGACCACGATACACTCGCAGACCGTCTGCACCGGAAGTGGCGGTTTCGCAAACGACCTTCAAAATTATAATAATTGTCCTTTCGAATTTATATAATGTATAATAAATGTAATCCTTACTATATAAAAAAAACAAACTTAATTTCTAAAAAAAAAACGTTATTTAAAGAGCTGAGTATGATGAAACTTTTTTTCAACAAAAAATTCATCGAGCCTCTAGCCACACCAGAAAAAGCTGAATGTCCAATGAAAATTCCTCATATCAACTGACCTAGTTTCTGTGACGTCATTTCTATCTAGGTCGTCTAGGGCCAATCGCGCAGCTTCCAATGCTGGCATGGCCTCCGCTAATACTTCCTCTGCCTCACTCTGATGAGGATGAAAATGATGATGATGGTGGAGGGTGAAAAAGATAATGTAGAAGATGAAAAAAATGATGATTATGAGAATGATGAAGATGGTGATGAAGATAAAAATGACAAAGATGAGAATGATGATGACGAGGAAGAAGATGATGTTCGAAGTTGTTGAGATGTAAGTGTTGAAAATTATAAAAATTAAAACAAATACAATTAAGAGTGGAGGTTGCGAACGTGACAATGATGACGTAAGATATGACGTAAAAACGTTTGACCTTTTCCGACTCGATGACCCTATTCTGGTCTTCCACTTCTTTCCCCTTTTCCTCGGCCAGTTTTTTCTTTTCTTCGGCTCTACAATTAAATAATTTAAAATGTCATAGTAAAATTTTGATTACGATTATCATTTAAAATTTTTTATCATGATAATGATCCACATCATCGTCACCATCATCATACCATCACAATCCTCTTCTTAATCAACACCTCAGTGCTTTTTTTAAAATTTTTTTTTAGTAAAATTAACCCTTCTTACTATCATTTAATCATCTTTATCATCATAGTAACTCCATCATCGTCGTCGTCTTACATCAACATGATGATCGTTAACTCAATTAATCTCATTTTAACATTGGCTGCTCTTGAACTGTTTAAACTTTCTTTATTTTCTTATTATGTTTTGTCACGATAATAATTTTGGCTCTGCTTTTCGAACTTTTTGAAGTCACATTTAGATTGTATCTATTACTAATGTTACTATTTCACTATAAATTTCCATTTTTTGGAGAGATAGAAAACAATCCTTGTCACCTGATGGTGTTGTTGGATATATCTCCCAGCAGATCTTCACACGATTTAGTCTTCTCAGTGACAGCCGCCTTCTGCAGCGTCAGTTTTTCATTCAGGACTGCAAGTTGCTCTCTCGCTTCTGCCAACTTCTGAATTCCACTACTCAGTCTTTCGCACTGTATGTTTGTTTGTTCGTTCGTTTGTTTGTTTGTTTAGTAGTTGAAAAAAGGAACTGTTGTTATTTAATTATTAAATCTTGTTATGAGTCCGGTGGTAAGTTAGATTGAGTTGCGGTTAAAGACCGTTGATTAATATTGAATAATTATTTAATTGATAATTCGTTAGAAATCCATATTAGGCATTTAGAAATTTAAAATTTTAATCGTCGTTCACTTGCTAATATATCACCAACAAATAAACTAAAACTTTGCTACCTGAGTGCATATGTAAGCATCCTTTTCTTCCAGCAATTTCAGGTAGGTGTTAATATAATCCAGGTAATTTTTAGGCGTCACGTAGTTGCTCCTACGAAGTCGCAGCTGGAAATCCTTGCTGAACATGCCAACGATTTGGTGGACCATGACGATGTGGCCAACCACTGTTTCGCGCTGGCGTGATGGTACTAGTTCGTTCTGGTGGTGGTGGTGGCAAGGGGTGGTGGCAAGGGGTGGTGGCAAGGGGTGGTGGCAAGGGGTGGTTTTGTAATCAATGTTTGTAATTATTTTTAGTTTTTTGTTTAAATGTTATCATTGTTTAAATGTTAAAATAATTTTTAATATTTTAAAAATCCAAGCAAAATGTTTTAATAACGCTATCTTCAAATATCATTATCATTATCGTCATTGATTTCATCACCATTGCCGTCATCATAAATATCATTCTCATCACCATTCTCATCATCATTCTCATCATCTTCATCATCATCACGTGACCTCGGGTGATATGAATACGGAAGCAACAGCGTAGAGGGCTTGTTCAGGCCAGGGCATGTACCAATCAATGTTCGTGTTGTTCACCATGCCTGGTTTGTTCATTTGTTCGTTCGTCCGTTTATCCATTCATCAATTAATTCACTAGTTCATTCATTCATTTACTTACTCACCAATTCATTCATTTTATCACCCATTGATTTTGTACCATATATTGATAATTTGAATTAATTATAACACTAAGAAAAACCGACATACATGTAGCTTTGTAACGGTTTGAATAAAACATATATAAGAAAAAAAATCTGGTTACAAAATAATCGAATGGTCTCATAGAGTAATATGCTTAAGAATTCCTTAATAATTTATCTCAGAATTTAATTAATTTAATAATAATTCAACTTTTTACAGGTAGCGTGCACTTATCTAAGAATGAAAAATTGAAATGGCGTTAGATCGAACCGGGAAAATTTCGACATCTGGTCCTCAGTGTGTCAGATACAGGTGACATGGTCAGAACGACGTGCAGGTTGTTGGCGCATTTATTCACGAAGTACTGCCAGATGCTCTCCTTTGCTGGGGTTTGCCCCTTGTTACCCCCTTCGCCTCGAATCTGACGATAGTGGCGATAGTGGCGGCGATGGTGACAACGATGGTGGCGGTGGCGATTGTGATGAAGATGATAGTGTTGGTGGTTAAGGTGTTTATTTTTATTATCATTTTCAACTTCACTGATGATGAAAAAGATGGTAGTTATATCGAAGAATGTGATTAGAAACAGAAAGAAAATAGTGAAAACCGGCTAATGGTGGTGATGTCGAACTTAGTGACCGAGCAATTTTAAAAATGAAAGTCACCGTGAATTCTCCTAAAGTTTATCTTCGAAAAATGTATCACGCTCGTCATAAAATTTTAAATATACTTTTTCCAACCGTTTCCACCTATCTCGCTCAGTTTTTTTTTATATTTCACACAAAAAACTTTTAATATTCCAAAAATGATAACAATGATAAGTGTGATTTTTATTTTTTAAATCAGGTATGAGAATAATTAAAATTAGAAATAGTTATAAAAAAAATGTGAAAGCATATAAGCAAGACAACATTCCAAATATTTTATAGTGAACTAAAGCTTAAAACGATGATATCACTTCCTTAAAAATAAACATCTAAAAATAAACATCTAAAAATAGATCATCTTAAGGTCAGTAAACAAACTCCGCCTCGCGATCCGTGTCCTTCACCTTCTTCATCTACCTCCTCTCCCATAACCTAATTGGTTATTAGGCGAAATATTACCAACCAATCATAGATATTTGTTTCTTAGTTGACCAATTAGAAAGTTTGTTTTTATTATTAAGAACCAATAAGAAAACAGACTCGAATGTATTCATCGTACTCGGCATCTGATAGGTTCTGATAAAAGGTACTATAACTCATCTATCCAATGAGAAAGCAAGAAGGAAAAATATATTTCATAACTTATAATTAAATAACTTTAATCAAAATTACTATAAACAAAAATTTGTCAAGCCATCAAGAAAACTATCGAAAAATTTGAAATTTTAACTACACCAACAATAACGACAACAATAACAACAACCATAACAATAACAACAACAACAACAAAAGTGAAGCAGGCTACGCCAAAAACGGCAACGTGAAAATGAAAACATTATCAACAACAACAACAATATTAACAACAACAATAACAACAACAATATCAACAATAACAACATCAACAACAACAAACAGTAAAAAACATAAAAAAACCACACTGAACCAACCTGGCCGATGATCTGTTCTTTCTCGTCCTCTCCAAAGAGTGCAGGGACCATTCCACTTGTCAGCATGTTGTTCACCAGTTCCAAAAAACCTTCAATATTTATTTAAATGTGTTGAATCCTCTGAACTTTGGAATAGTGTAATTGACCTTTTTAACCTTTTAACCTTTAACCAGCAACGACAACAGTAATATCATCATAAAATTCTTATTATATCATCACTGTTAGCATAATAATCATGATGTAATCATCATCTACGTACTTCACTAAGAAGAATAATGCCACAAGTATCATAAAACATCGAATAAGAAATTTATCATCATTGAATTTACCGACATTTTAAAACCATCATCGTCACCACCATTATCATCTTAATCATTATCATAATAATTATCATAATAATTATCATTATCAGTATCAGTGTTATCATAATCATCATTATCAGTATCAGTGTTATAATAATCATCATTATCAGTATCAGTGTTATCATAATCATCATTATCAGTATCAGTGTTATCATAATCATCATTATCAGTATCGTCATCACCGTCACCACCTTCTTCTACAACGTGCTGGTCAGTAAAGAGGAAAACAATCTTTTTATTCTCCATGCCCAGTTTGTTGTAGAGAACCTTCAGGTCTTCTCTGAAGGAGATTTCATTGTAGCCTCTGCATAGCTGTATTTCGTATACCTGGGTGATGTGTGTGTGTTTGTGTGTGAGTGTCTGTGTATGTCTCTGTCTGGTCTGTGTGTGTGTGTGTCTCTGGTCTGTGTGTGTGCGTGTGTGTCTGTTTTGGAGTGTGTGTGTTTGTATGTGTATGTGTTTGTATGTGTGTGTGTCTGTGATTGAGTGTGTGTGTGTGTGTGTGTGCGTGGCATACGATAAACCCATAACAACGATGATGTTAACAACAGCAATATGTAAGGCAATCATTTACCGCAAAAACAACGACTCCAATCCTTTTTATTCGCACTTTCAACCCCTCCTAACTAACTTCGCACTTGGCGGTGAACGCGGCCAACTTCGTCAGACTCTGCTTTCCACTTCCGCCGACGCCAA